GAGCGGGCACCAGCATGGAGACTGGGCGGTAGAAAGCAAACAGAGAGAGTGAGCGAGGGTGTTGAGGCAGGAATTAAAGAGGAGTGAAATCACTGGGTATGCAGAAAGAAGCCAGGCTGTTCCAGGCACAGAGGCTTGGAGTAAGGGATGGGAAAGCACACAAGCACCCATCAGTAGAAGGAAGTATGCAACGTAGTATAGAGCACAGGAGGAAGAGCCTCCAGAGCTAGGATTTGGGCTGAAGCAGAACAGTGCAGCTCTCCAAAGGGGAGGCCATCTTGCTGTAGAAAGAGTCAGGAAGCTAGTGGAGGAAATTGAGGAGAGACGGACATGGTTGGAGCCACAGGGCAGGAAGATGAATGTAGACTGGATAAATTGCAGGCCATCCTTTTGAAACCAGAGAGCCACATTTTTTGTATGTGTTACTATGTCTGCATGCACAAATTGAGTGATTTTGCACAGCAAGCAGCATTGTTCATTCAATAACTCAAACAGCATTTGCATTTGTAACATTTGTGCAGACATAGCAGTTAACCATGCAGGTGTAGACATACAATTGTAGTTATGCCTCTGGTTTTTAAACTTGGTGGAACAGTTGTTCAAAGCCTGCAAGATACACTGGATCTTCAGCATTGGTGATGATGTAGTGCTGACTAATGACTGAAGATGGCAGCATTGTGTGAACTATCTTGCTTTCTTACTTAACAAATTAGAGACATCTTGAAAGATATATATTGATATATTGTAGCTGTTGCATATGGCAAATGTAGCCCAACACCAGCTTTTCATTTAAAGGGTTTTTCTTAATGTGTAACATTGCCATAAATTAGTAGTAGGCAGATACCCATTATATTTTACCATCTGGTCATTTTAGATATGTTTGAATTAAATAAGTTACACAGAGAATACAGGATTTCCAATACAAATTTTGCTAATACAAAAAAAAAATCTCTCCTTTTAGCATGTGCATGCTTGTAAAAGTTATTCCTTTTATATTTATAACACTTCTTGCAATTCGATAGCACCTGCCATGCAGGGATCTCAAATAGTTTTACAAATAAATATTATTTGTTGCAACTCTAAACACCCCTGCCTGATAGGAACATATTATTATCACTATTTTACAAAGGGAGAAATATATACAGGGACATTAGGGGCTAGTTTTTTATACTCATCTGCCTGTGCCCAATGTATGATTTAAAGCTACTTAATTTGTGTGAGAAATCAAGTATAAGCTTTGTTATCTGGCATTCATGAGGCATGGGGGTTGCTGGTTAATCAAATATGCTGGTTCTTCAAGCTTTACACCAGTGCTCACCAACCAGTAGATCAGGAATCTACCAGTAGATCTTGGAGCCTCTGACAGTGATCTTGACTGGTTTGGCCAGGAAGCTATCAAGTTCTAGCACTTCAGTTGCCCCACCACCCACTGTCTTGCTGCTCCTGCCCTCTGCCTTGGAACTGCCCCCCTGGGAGCCTCCTGCTTGTTGTGCAGGGTGTGGGAGGGAGAAGGGGGGGTGCTGACATCAGGGTGTCCCTCCTTCCCCCTCTCCTCTAGCCTGTCTCCACACAGAGAAAAAGGGATGGAGGGAGCTTGGCAATGCAAATCTCTGTCACACAAAGACGCACTGTCCTTCGTTCTCATCTCCTGGCCCAACTCATGTGGCGGGCAGTTGTTACTTTTTTTAGTGCTTGCGAAGTGTGTTATTTTTTGGTTTCTGACTGGTTTGTGCATTTCATAATTTTCATTTCTCTCTCATGCTTAAATTTAATTATTTGAGCAGTGAGTTCTAAAATGCCTAACCTGTCCTGGCTGAAGTAATTATCCCTGTGGTAACTGTTGCTCCTGGAGGTGGCTTGCATGTCCCTGCAGCCTTTGAGAAAGGTAGAGCAAGGGGTCACCACCTGCTGTCCTTGCCTGCAGATACCACTCCTGCAGCTCCCATTGATCAATAATAGGGAACCAGGGCCAGTAGAAGCTGTGGGCTCAGTGCCTGTAGATGAGGGGCAGCACATGGCACCATGGAGCCATTGCTGTACATGCCAGCTGCTTTCAGGAGTGGTGCAGGACCAGGGCAGGAGTAAGCCTGCCTTAACCCCACTGTTCCACCACCAAGTGGTGCCCAACCAGAGCCTGCTTCCTGGATCCCTGTCCCAGTCCTGAATCCCCTTTTGCACCCAATCTCCTGCCCCAGATGTGAATTTTCCTGCACTGAAATTCCTTCCCAGAGCTTGCACCTAGAACCCCCTTCTACATCCCAATCCCCCACCTTGGGCTCAGCCTGGAGCCCCTCCCACACTTGAACCATTTGGCCCAAGACCAGAGCCTGCACTCCAACCACCTACCCCAGCCTGGTGAAAGTGAATGAGGTTTTGGAGGAAGGGAGATGGAGTGATCAGGGTGAGGCCTTGGAGAAGTGGTGGAACAGGAGTGGGGCCTCAAAGAAGGGGCGGGAAGGAAGTGGGGTAAGGGTAGTTGGGTTTGAGGTAGATCTTGCATTGCACTTATATTGAATAATTGAACTTGTGGTTACAAAGTTTGGAGACCACTGCTTTATACCAATGGTTCATGAATCTTTCACTGTATACTAGCCATAGTTACAAGATAGGTTAGATAATATCTGATAATGGCATTATATGTAGCAGCATGACGAGAACAAAATTAACTGCTGAAAGTTTACAAACTTGATTTCCACAAGCATCAGAAAATGTCAAAAAATATGCTGGATAGCTATTGGAATTTTTCTGATTAACTGAAAGGAGGAATTGTATTGCCGTTTCTAACCAGATGCCGGTTAACTGAGTTTTCTGGATATTAAAGTGCCGGATAACACAGCCTGTACTGTATTTATTATTATTTGTTATTTATATTACGGTAGCACTTGGAAACACCAGCAAAGGACAGCATGCTTGGTGCTGTGCAAATAGATGGTGAGAGACAGTCAATGCCCCAAGAATCTTACAGTCTGGTGTTCATGTTGCTTATGGGGCATCTATATGTGAATCAATTGACTTAAAGAAAACCTGCCCAAAGCGCGCAGAAAGCACAGTGCCAGTGGGAGACTCAAGCAGTCCCCTGCTGACCCCATGCTTCCTGCTTTGGAAATGTACATGAGCCCCATGGGGCTTTTGTAAATTTCAAAAACAAAGCTCATGGGGAGCACGGGGCCATGTTCTTGTTATATTTCAAAGGCAGAAGTGCTGCCAGGTCCCCTCTGCCCCCTTGCCTCCCAGATTCTGGTTAACTGAGTTTTCTGGATATTAAAGTGCCGAATAACACTTTCTGGCTCCCCCCAGCACAGGCTCCTGCTCTCCACCTTGCTGATAGAGGCAGCGGGGCAGGGGGGGAATGACTAGTCAAGTCACTAGTTAACTATCTGATAAGCATATGCTTAGTCAACAAGTCGCTTACATCCCTAGTTTTCCATGGTCCCATAAAGTTTGTTTACAGCCACCAGTCCTGGCTCTCAGTGTTCTGTGCAATTATTTAGCTCTAATTTACCCCTACATGTCTTCTGAGAGCCCAGTAAGCAGTCAGGGTATGTCTACACTACCACCCTAGTTCGACGAGGAGTAACGGTAGTTCGGAATAGGAAGCCTAATCCGAACTACCTACTCCATGCCGCAGGCATGGAGTCTGAACTAGCGGGGCTTTAAAAATGGCGGCACCCGGCAAGATGCAAATGAAGTCCAGGAAATTCAAATCCCGGGCTTCATTTGCAACTTCGGTTGCCTACATTAATCACCCTAGTTCAAACTAGGGTGGTAGTGTAGACATACCCTCAGAGTGTTGGTAATGCTGCTAGAACATATTCACCTCTGGTGGTTTGGCAAATTCTCTGGTTCAGCACCGGTTAGGTCCCAAGGGTGCCAGACTAGAGAGGTTCAACCTGTAGTCTAATTTGACGTAGACACTTTATTTGGGTGATCAACAACATGTGTTTATCTTTATATGCTGATAAATGGTAAAGAAAAAGTCCTACTATGTAACATCAAAAGCAAACAATTTGTTAGGAGCAGAAGTGATTTGTCTTTTCTCTTCCAGTTTAGGGAGATTGAAAAACCTGTGTTTCCCAAAGGTTTTTGTAATATTTATCATAGTTTTATGTAGTTAATGCAAATTAGATGCAGTTGTTCTTATGCTAATAATTTTCAAAAGTTCTCATCAATAATATTGTTCATACAGTACTAACTGCCCTTCTGGTTTTATGGATTGAATAATTGGAATGGATTGATCAATTGAGTTTACTAGAGGGGCTGTAATTTTCTAATTTAGGAGGCAAGTGACATTTTTCTTCACTTATGGCAAAGTTAGTAAATTCTTATGAACATGAAGGCCCCAATTCAGGAAAGTTCTTAATCATATATTTATGTCTATCTCTAGTCAAGGCAACATTTAAGCATCTGTTCAACTTTAATCCCTTCAGTACCGTGGAAGTCAATGGGTCTTAAACATGTTCTTACAGTTAAGAATATGCTTAAATAGTGTCCTGAACTAGGACCCACACGTAAAATTTTTAGAGGGAGTTAGGTACCTAAAGTTGCAGAGATGGCTATTGGGATTTTCAAAGTGCCCAACCAGGTTAGGCACCAAACTCCCATTGAAATCAGTAGAATTTAAGCACTCAAATAACTTTAAAAATCTAGATTTACATGTCTAACTTTCTTAGGCATTTTTGAAAAGCCTACTCATTACCAATCTGTATCTTTAGGCACCTAGATACCTTTTAATACCTGGCTCTTAGTGACTATAGGAAACCAGAGAAAAAGTAACATTTTGCTAGTTTCCCCCTGTGTATGCCATTTTTATACAGTTCTACTTTACTGCTAACATGACATTTAAAATACGTAACAGTAAGCGTCTTTGATCCAAACTTATTTAAAAAACATGAAAATCTGCGGAAATGGGGTTCTCAAGTGAAAATGGTACTGATTGGTGCTGCTGAAGTGCTTGTCTGCAGGTTCGCTATGCATATTTGTGTACATATCTATTTTCACAGTGCTATTTCTTTACCATCGAATTTGGCATTTGCAAGCAAGAGGGACAACTACGTGCTTATGGGGCAGGACTCCTGTCTTCTATTGGAGAATTAAAGGTATGTGAGTGGATATACTCTGCAAGCTAATATAAGTTACTTACAATGATGGAAATTATTAATGAAGTGTGAATATTTTTATTTAAACAACTGTCAGGTTTTTCATATTGAAGGATTAGTCCCCAAATTGAACAGATATATCACAAAACAAAAATCTTGGGGCGAGGCTGGATCATAAAATCACAGGGTTGGAAGAGACCCCAGGAGGTCATTGAGTCCAAACCCCTGCCCAAAGCAGGACCAACCCAACTAAATCATCCCAGCCAGAGCTTTGTCAATATGGGAATAAAAAACTTCTAGGAATGGAGATTCCACCCGCTCCCTATGGAACCCATTCCAGTGCTTCACCACCCTCCTAGGGAAATAGTTTTTCCTAATATCCAACCTACACCTCCCCCACTATAACTTGAGACCATTGCTTCTTGTTCTGCCATCCGTTACCACTGAGAACAGCCTCTCTCCATCCTTTTTGGAATCTCCCTTCAGGAAGTTGAAGGCTGCTATCAAATTCCCCCTCTCCCCTCTCTGCAGACTAAACGAGCCCAAATCCCTCAGCCTCTCCTTGTAGGTTATGAACTCCAGCCCCATAATCATTTTGGTTGCCCTCCACAGGATCCTCTCCAATGCATCCACATCCTTTCTATAGTGGTGGGGCTCAGAACTGGACACAATACTTCACATGTGGACTCACCAGTGCTGAATAAAGGGGAATAATAACTTCTCTAGGTCTGCTGGAAATGCTCCTCCTAATGCACCCTAATATGCCATTAATCTTCTTGGCTACCAGGGCACACTGTTGATTCATATCCAGCTTCTCATTCACTGTAATCCCTAGGTCCTTTTTGCTGAACTGCTACTTAGCCAGTCGGTCCCCAACCAGTGACAATGCTTGGGATTCTTCGATCCCAAGTGCAGGACTCTGCACTTGTTCTTGTTGAACCTCATCAGATTTCTTTTGGCCCAACCTTGTTTAGGACACTCTGGACCCTATCTTTGCCCTCTAACGTATTTATCTCTTCCCCTATCTTAGTGTCATCCGCAAACTTGCTGAGAGTACAATCCATCCCCTCATCCAGGTCATTAATAAAGATATTGAACAAAACCAGCCCTAGAATCGATCCTTGGGGCACTCCACTTGAAACTGACTGCCAACCAGACATTGAGCCATTGATCACTACCCGTTGGGCCTGACAATCTAGCCAGCTTTCCAGCCCCCTTTCAGTCCACTTATCCAATCCATACTTCCTTAACTTGTTGGCAAAAATATTCTGGGAGACTGTATCAAAACCTTGCTAAAGTCAAGGTATATCACATCAACCGACTTCCCCATGTCCAAGAGGCAGTTTCCTCATTATAGAAGCTAATCAGATTGGTCAGGCATGACTTGCCCTTGGTGAATCCATGTTGACTATTCTTAATATATAAACTCTCAACCCTTTTCAAAGCAACACTAAAAATGATGTATGTGCAAATAAATGACATCTATTGATCAGTTTCAAAGGTTAGTCTGCATGCCATAATAATTTTTGCCATAAATCAAATACTTTTCTTATTATACTACATATGTAACAATATTCATATCCCTTTAGCAATAATAGAGGGGGACTAATTTGCAGCATAAGTTGAGTCACTAAGATTTGGGTTCTGTTATGTGACTTGACGGCACTCATTCAGCTATAGAACATGTAAATGCAAATTATTGTACAATCAATATACTGCCTTCTCTGTGTCTTATTATGCAATTCCTTTACTTCCAGCTGATTGGATTTGTTCACTGCTCAACCCATTAGGCCATCTTATGTCACCCTGTATTATTTCAGGGTTATGTTTTAAATGTTATGTCAATGAACGTTTATCAACTTGTTTTATTAATGAACTTGATATATGAGAAAAATGGGGACAATTTCCTCTTTGAATTATTAAACTGTAAAAATATTACATAAAATAAGTGCAGAAGTACAGCTTTGCAATGATACCTTTCATCAGATAAGAATGAGTGGATACAATTTTCAAAAGTCCTTCAGAGCCAGATTTTCAAACACATTTAGATTTATAGAATCAGAGAAATGTAGGGCAGGGAGGAACCTCAAGGAATCATCAAGTCCAGCCTCTGCACTGAAGCAGGGCCAAGTAAATGTAGATCATCACTAACAGGTGTAAAAAACTCCAATGATGGAAATACCATTACCTACCTTGGAAGATTATTTCAGAGCTTAACTGCCCTTACAAGGAACATTTTCCCTAACATCTAAATCTCCCTTGCTGCAGATAAAGCTTGCTACTTCTTCTTCTAGCTTGAGTGGACATAAAGAACAATAGCTCATAGTGATCTTTATAACACTCCTTTACTTATTTGAAAACTGTTATTAGTCATCTTTTCTTAAGACTACCCAAACCCATTTTCTGTAGCTATTCATTATAGATCAGGTTGGCTAAGCCTTTCACCTATTTTTGTTGCTGGACTCTGTGGCTGTGTCTACACTGGCCACTTATTCCGGAAAATCAGCCGCTTTTCCAGAAAAACTTGCCAGCTGTCTACACTGGCCCCTTGAATGAAAAGCACTGACGATCTAATGTAAAATCATCAGTATTTTCCGGAAAAACTATGCTGCTCCCGTTCGGGCAAAAGTCTTTGTCCGGAAAACTGTTCTGGAAAAGGGCCAGTGTAGACAGCACAGTAGTGTTTTCTGAAAAAAAGCCCCGATCGTGAAAATGACAATCGGGGCTTTTTAGCTTTTTTGCGGAAAAGCGCGTCTAGATTGGCCAAGGATGCTTTTCCGGAAAAAGTGCTTTTCCGGAAAAGCATCCTGCCAATCTAGACGCGCTTTTCCGAAAATGCTTTTAACAGAAAAGTTTTCCGTTAAAAGCATTTCCGGAAAATCATGCCAGTGTAGATGTAGCCTTTCAGATTTGCCCAAATCTTTCCTTAAGTGTGGAGCCCAGAATGGGACCTAGGCATGCCAACTGAGGCCTCCCCTGTGTCGAGTAAGGTGGGGCAACACCTCCTACGCAGTGGTACAAGTAAAGAAAATTTCTTATTGATAGAGGAGAAGGAAGGTGCAACAACTAGAGGGGGAGACACATGACCTCCCCATATGCCCCCCCAAGTGACTTAGCTCTCTTTCCTTAAGTGTGGAGCCCAGAATGGGACCTAGGCATGCCAACTGAGGCCTCCCCTGTGTCGAGTAAGGTGGGGCAACACCTCCTACGCAGTGGTACAAGTAAAGAAAATTTCTTATTGATAGAGGAGAAGGAAGGTGCAACAACTAGAGGGGGAGACACATGACCTCCCCATATGCCCCCCCAAGTGACTTAGCTCTGCCCTCCTCTCCCCATCCCACTTTCCCTGGGAGGGGCTTCTGGCAGTTCTGCTTCTTTCCATGCTGCCCCTCCACCGCGCTGCTGCGCCTGTGCACAGGGCTGAGGGTGGCGTGGAAGTGGGGGAACCAGGGAAAGGAATCAGAACATCAGCAGCTACTACTCCATATATCGTCGTGCTCCCATCTCTCCCCCCATCAGTCTCTGACCCCAGCCTGTACACAGAGAAGTGGCAGCCAGTTGTGGGGCTGTGGATGGCCAGAAGGGAGACTTTCCGGTATGTCATACCAGCTAAGAATAACTTGGTGGTACAGCATATGGGACCGGCCATATTCCTGTTACATATGGACATGCTCCTGCTAATACACTGTAGAATATTAGCCTGTTTTGCAGCTGTATCGCATTGTTGACTCATATACAATTTGTGATCCACTGTAATTTCCAGATCATTATGACAGTACTATAATGTATTCAGTTATTGCCCATTTTGCTGTCATGCATTTGATTTTTCATTCCTAAGTAAGTACTTTGCACTTGTCTTCATTGTATTTCTTTTTGCTGATTTCAGAGTAATTCTACAGCTTGTCAGGCTCATTTTGGGTTCTCATACTGTTCTCTAAAGTACTTGCAACCCCTCCCAGCTTGATGTCATCTGCAAATTGAATGCCATCCACTCCATTATCCAAGTCATTAATGAAAATATTGAATAGTATTGGTCCCGGGACTGAGGCCTGTGGGACCCTGCTAGATATGCCCTCCCACTTTGATAGCAAACCATTGATAACTACACTCAGAGTACGGTCTTTCAACCAGTTTTGAACCCATATTATAGCAATTTCCTCTAGACTTCATTTCCCTAGTTTGCTTATGAGAATGTTATGTAGGACTGTGTCAAAATCCTTACTAAAATCAAGATGTATCACATTAACTGCTTCTTCCCATCTTCTAGGCCAGTTCCCTTTTCGGTGAAGGAAATTAAGTTGTTCTGCCATTGTTTGTGCTTGACAAATCTGATCACCATTCTTTACAACACTATTCTTTTCCAGGTGCTTACAACTTGATTTAGGTATTTAAAGATACATCTATGCTAGTGGGATTTTCAGAAGGGCTTAAAAGAGTTAGGTACAGAAATCCCACTGACATCATAACCTGCATTGGTGCTTTTGATAGTCCCACGTGGTGCTTATCCAGGGGCAATTGATGAGGGAGGTAACACATTGGCTACATGACTGTTTTTCCAGTTAGGGAAGAGCCAGGACAACCCCCCTCACCCCAGATCCTCTTCCTGTCCTTTCTCTGCCCCTGCCCCGCCTCTTCCTCCAGCCCCCTCCCACAAGTGATGCATCCCCAGGGACTACAGGACCAGGGAATCAGTGCCAGCAGTGGGGAGCCAGCCCCTGTGCATCAATTGGAAGCAGCAGGGGAAGCGGAGCAACATGGCCCCCGTTCACTCTGCTCATCCAGCTATGTCGCTCCAATTTCTACCAGTGAGTGTGGGGGCAATCCTGCCCCGCCCCCAAGTGATGTGGCTGGGAGAGCAGAGAAGGGTGGAGCAATGTTGCTCCGCTTTCCCCATTGTTGCCAGTGAGTGCTGGGAGGGCATCCCCTGCTGCAGGTGCCAGCCCACCCAGCTAGTGCCCCTGGACACACAGAGACTCTGGCCCCACTGGCTGCTGGCTGCC